GGAGGAGGAGGAAAAGGAGGAGGAGGAGGCGGAGCAAGAGGAGGAGGAGGAGGCGGAGGAGAAGAAGGAGGAGGAGAAGGAGGAGGAGGAGGCAAGGTCCCCAGTGTGCACAGTGCGGTTGCGAGGATGCCCCGCACCCAAGTCTGGGACGGGAACTGCGCTGGAGGTGCGTGACGTGCCGTAGGTCTGGAGCCAAGGTGTTGGCCACCACGCGATGCTTCTCCCTCTCGGCTTCATTTCAAGACGTGCTCCAGGAAGCGCAAAAACCAGAGCACGGACATGGGATTCTTGTCACGGCTGTGTCTGCGACGGGTATGCATGCAATAAATGCGGCGCTATCGCCTCGAGTCGCGCGGCTGGTCTCAAGGATGCCGTGTGTCACCCAGCATTGAATGCTGAACTGCGGAAGATGCGCCGTGGTCTGTTGCCAGGGGTATCGGGCAAGGTAGAGCTCGACCCGCCGTGGCACCTATGGGCCGCACGACCCGCAGGTGTCTCCTCTTCCTCCTCCCCCTCCTCCTCCCGAGTAGTGCGACGCTTGGCCGACCGGAATGCCAACGCGCGCCAGGGAGGGCAGGGCGCAGGATAGGTAGGGATCTGATTTGGCAGGGTTTGGGGTGATTCCCACTCCCCGTCCAACGGGCTCGAAAGGCTTGAAAAGACATGATTCAGGAGGAGGAGGCGGAGGAGCAGGAGGAGCAGGGGGAGAAGGAGAGGGAGAGAAGGATGGAGGAGGAGGAACAGGGCAGCAGGTGGAGGAGGATGACGAGGAGGAGGAGGAGGAGGTGGAGGGGGAGGAGGAGACGGAGGAGGAGGAGGAGCAGCAGCAGCAGCAGCAGCAGCAGCAGGAGGAGAAGGAGCAGGAGGAGCAAGCGGAAGACGAGAACGACGAGCACGAGGAGGAGGAGGAGGAGGAGGAGGAGGAGGAGGAGTAGGAGGAGGAGGAGGAGGAGGAGGAGGAGGAGGAGGGGGGAGGAGGAGGAGGAGGAGGAGGGCAGGATGAGGAGGAGGAGGGCGAGGAGGAGGAGGAGGAGGAGGAGGAGGAGGGCGAGGAGGAGGAGGAGAGGGAGCCAAAGGAGGAAAAGGAGGAGAAGGGGCATGCCGGGTTCACCATGTACATGGCCGAGATCGCCGCCAGCCGCTCTGCCTCCTGCGCGGGCGGCGGCGCGGCAGCGGCGCGCGGCAGCGGCGCGGGGGCGAGGCGGAGGAGGGAGGGGGATAAGGACGAGGAGGAGAAAGAAGAGAAGGAGGAGGAGGAGGAGGAGGAGGAGGAGGAGGAGGAGGAGGAGGAGGAGGAGGAGGGGGACGAGGAGGAGGAGGGGGTTGAGGAGGAGGAGGAGGAGGCGAGGGAGGAGGAGGAGGAGGAGCAGGAGGAGCAGGAAGAGGAGGCGGAGGAGGAGGAGGAGCAGGACGAGGAGAGGACCAGGACGAGGAGGAGGAGCAGGACGAGGAGGACGGGACGAGCGCCAGAATCACGCGGGTCCCGCTGGGGAGCCCGCTCGTGCCCATTGGGGCATGGCGCGGAGGCCGTAGCCTCAGACCACGAAACGAGTACCACTCTGTCATGATTGCTAGAAGCCAGTGTAGCACGAGCATGGCCTGGACGGAGGAGGAGGAGGAGGAGGAGGAGGAGGAGGAGGAGGAGGAGGAGGAGGAGGAGGAGGAGGAGGAGGAGGAGGGGGAGGAGGGAGGGAGGGAGGGAGGAGGGAGGAGGGAAGAGGGAGGAGGGAGGAGGAGGAGGAGAGGGAGGAGGCAGGAGGAGGAGCAGGAGGAGCAGGAAGAGGAGGAGGAGGAGGAGCAGGAGGAGGGGGAGCAGGAGGAGGAGGACCAGGACGAGAAGGAGGACGGGACGAGCGCCAGAATCGCGCGTGCCCCGCTGGGGAGCCGGCTCGTGCCCATTGGGGCATGGCGCGGAGGCCGTAGCCTCAGACCGCGAAACGAGTACCACTCTGTCATGATTGCTAGCAGCCAGTGTAGCGCGAGCATGACCTGGACGGAGGAGGAGCAGGAGGAGGAGGAGGAGGAGGAGGAGGAAAGGAGGAAAGGAGGGCTTCCAAACGTCCGTGGCCCGAAGGCTCAAAGGGACCATCTCTTTGGCGCCATGGCCCCTCAGTGGGACAGCGAAGTGGTGCTGGCCTGAGCCCTCAGCTATCGCTACTGCCGTTGTATCACCTCGTTCGCCAGTGAGCCCTCAGCTATCGCCACTTCTCGCTTTCGTTGTGGATCCGTCGATACTCTTGACATGGGACAGCAGTGGCATTCCCGTCCTCGTGGGAGTGGAGGGATACAATACACCCCACGACCACTCTGGCAGGTTGGGGTGGTCACGACAGGTACGTTCCAGTCATCGGAGCTGAGTGCAGTGCGCAGAGCTAGCTCGCGCTGCCCCGATCCTTTGGTTGGCGAGGCGGACTTGGCACCAGGCTTCGCCCGGTCGCAGTGCGCCCCGGGCCGAGTCAGACCCTTCGGGCCGCACGAGGCCTGAGGAAGCCTCGGCGAGGCTCTGCTGGGGAGCCCTTCGTGCCCTGCTGGAGCTGGCCTCGGGTCGCCTCCCCTCGCGCACCGCGAGGCGCGACGCGCGGCTCCTCCTCGCTGTCCTCGCGAGGCCGCCCCCGAGAAGGACCACTACTCCCTGGCCCGGGCCGCCCCGCGCGCAGCGCGATCCTCCTGGCGCCCCCTTTGGGGGGGCACCCGGCGGCCCGGCTCGGCCACGGCCCTGCTCGCCACAGCTCGCAGGACGCCCCCTATCAGAACGTGTCAAGCTGATACACCTCCGGCGTCGACTCGTTGATTTGTCTGGCTCTTGTGGCCCCCCCTCTCGCCCTGCTCGCCACAGCTCGCCGCTGTGATTCCGCAGGACGGCCCTGCTCGCCACGGCTCGCAGGGCGGGGCCGCCCAGGCCGGGCGGCCCGACCCTGCGGCGCGCGAGGCGCGCGCGCGCGCGGCGTGCGGGCACCCCCTCGGCCGGGGAGGGCGGCGGTGCTGCGGGGCGCTGGCAGCGCACGCCGCGGGCCCCGGGGGCGCTCGGGCCAGCAGAGGAGGGGAGGGAGGGAGGGAGGGAGGGAGAGGGAGAGAGGGAGGGAGGGGAGGGAAGGGAGGGGAGGGGAGGGGAGGGGAGGGGGAGGGGAGGGGAGGGGCAGGGAGAAGCAAGAGGGGAGGAGGAAGGGGAAGGAAGGGAGGAGGCGGACAGCGGCCTGTCAGGAGCACTGCCTGCCTCCGATTCGCATTGCACCCCTCCAGTGCCTGTGCGGACCTCAGACATCTTCCCTTCCCCTGATATTCTCACCCCCTCGCCCCCCCGCCCCTTGACCACATCTCCCCCTGCCCTCATCCAACTGGCGGGCGTCAACTCAGGGAACCGAACTCTGTACCCCGACGCTTTTTCTGGCCCTGCACTGAAGTTTGCCCAGGAAAACGGATCCTGGCGTACACGGGACCCTGGCGTATACATGTTCCGCTGTTACCCCGGGAAGCAGATACAAAAACCATACACCACACCACCCTGACGTCGTCCCTGACCCTCAAGCAGATCTGGGATTGAAAAGCAGCCCGCCACTGGTAATGTATGTGTTCCAGTTGCCGACAGCTGACCACCTCACACTGCACGGTTTCCCGCGGGGCCGCAGGCGAGCCGAGGAGGAGGAGGAGGAGGAGGAGGAGGAGGAGGAGGAGGAGGAGGAGGAGGAGGAGGGAGGAGGAGGAGGAGGAGGAGGAGGAGGGGAGGAGGAGGAGGAAGGAGGAGGGAGGAGGAGGGAGGAGGAGGAAGGAAGAGGAGGAGGAGGAGGAGGAGGAGGAGGAGAGGAGGAAGAGGAAGGAGGAGGAGGAGGAGGAGGAGGAGGAGGAGGAGGAGGAGATGGAGGAGGCGGAGGAGGAGGAGGAAGAGGAGGAGGAGATGGAGGAGATGGAGGAGGAGAGGAGGAGGAGGAGGAGGAGGAGGAGGAGGAGGAGGAGGAGAAGGAGGAGGAGGAGGAGGAGGGAGGAGGAGGTGGGAGGAGGGAGGAGGAGGAGGAGGAGGAAGAGGTGGGAGGAAGAGGTGGGAGGAGGAGGAGGAGGAGGAGGAGGAGGAGGTGGGAGGAGGACGGGTCGCCCCAGCCCTTCGGAGAAACCCTCCGCCTCACACCGCGCGGAGTCGCACCGATCCTGGCCAGGCCGGTCACTGGGGCCCGGGGTCGGGGCCCACGGCTCCCTCCCTGGCCCAAGCCTGGGGGACGTGCACCGATCTGGAGTTCAGGATGGGCCCTGCCAGGATCGGTGGGATATCGGGGGCGCGCGGTCGCCTAATCCATTATTTGGTGGGCCTACTGGCACGCCAGGACGCTTCGCCATTGCTCGATGCATTTGGATCGTGCCGAGCGGCTGGCGGCAGCGGCCGGCCGGCACGGCCCAGCCGGCCGGGCGCCTCTGGCGCGGCCGGGTGCTGCTGCTGCTGCCCGCCGTCGCCCTCCGCGGCGCCAGGGGCCATGGATTTGGCGCGCGGTCGCCTAATCCATGGATCGGGGGAGGTGAGCTCCCCAACATGCGGCCGGTGCCGCCTCGCTCGGCGGCGGAGATCCGCGACTTCCCATGGAAGCGGGACCCGTCGCTAATCCACGCTCCCTTAATCCATGTTTGCGATCGCCTGAGGATAGTCGGTCGACGTCCCCCTCTTGAAATGCCTCCTGGCTTGAGGTCGGGCATGTCCCCCTACGGGCGGATTTTGGACGAAAAAATTTAAAAAATGCTCCAAATGAGTGCAAGTGCTATTTCAAGAATAAAAGAAAATCGTCCAGATTAGATGTTTAGACTATTTTTGAACATACCTCCTGTAAAGGGAAACGCCCGACTTAATCCTAGCTGGGGTCCGAGTAGATGGTGTCGGAGGATCGCGCCGCATGGCCGATGCATCGGCGATACATCGGCGATGCATCCGCGATGCATCGCCGACGTCGGCGACGCATCGGAGACGTCGGCGTGAAGCAAATCGGGCTCCGCAACGAGCCGCATCACCGATGCATCGGCGATGCGGCGCGATGCTCCGACACCATCTACTCCGACCCCATCTGGGAGGCCTATAGACTCTTCCATCCCCCCTCCAACCACTCATCCTGGGGAAACCAAAAGATACCAATACCACTACTCCCTGGACCTCTCTCCCAGGGTGCGTTCTGACCAGCATGTGGAGCCGAACCCAGCCGTGGCGACGAGTGCCGCCCAGGAGGCCCGAGAAGGCGAAAACGAGGAAGGGCAGCGGCATCAGTGCCCTTTCCTTGTCTGACCCTTCCGTCCCCTCTCAGACCGCTTCATCCCTCACGGTGTTTCAGTGT